AGGTTGGCTGGACTGGAGTCCTGAAGATGTGAAGTACAGTGCCTGAACTCTGAAGGAGTGGTGGGGATATTGCAGTTCGTAGGATTATCAGAAATATGATGTGAACGCTTTTCTGGCAAGGTTGAATGAATGGTTGCGAGTGCTCATCCTATTTTTTCAGTCAACCTTCCTCTGTAGGAAATGGACGGTGTTAACGTATGTATGCATATACTTTTTCTTTGTTATTTCTGAATCTTATTGGTATGAAGGTCTCATCAGGTTGCCTATATTTTCCGGCTAAGTACTCCATACCATCCACTGACTCACTCTCCACTTCACTGTCCCAGTACACAACATTCAGGAAGGTCCTCAACTCCTAAGAATTCCCGCTGCTGAAGTCTCATTTTTTACGCCCTCCACCTGCTGTATTTCCCTTCTACCTTTAGTTCCACTAAGTACTTTAATTTCAGGACCTCATGATCACTAGCTCCCAGAGGACTCTTATATTCTATATCACCTGTCAGATGTACCAGAACCAAACACACTAGATTCAGTCTTTTGTGGTTGTGTGTGTGTGTGTGTGTGTGTGTGTGTGTGTGTGTGTGTGTGTGTGTGTGTGTGTGTGTGTGTGTGTGTGTGTGTGTGTGTTTGTGTTCATTATGTACACTTTTCCCGGGACAGAAATCCATTAACATTTTATAATATAAATAACTATGCTATCTATTGTACGGGAAAAATATTTGTTGTGGAAATTATTTAGGTGATAATTGGCAAAATAGAAACATCGTTTATTTTGTATTTGTTTTTTACTAAGTTGTGCAATGGAGACAGTAATACTTTACCCAAAAAGGAAAGAAACTTTAATTTGATTAGTTTACCAACATAACTCTGTCTAACCTGACCTTGATCATCTGTAAAACGGTCGGTCAGGTTAGTCTGGGCAACATTGGTTATATTAAATAAAAAGGTCTTTTTTCCATATGCACTAAATACCTTTCTCCATTGCACAGCGTACTTAACAGATAGGAGTTTACAAATCAAAACACACACACACACTGGTAGGCAAGGTCAGATGAACCTGGCTTTAGGATCCCACGGACGAGTCAGCTGTGAGACTACCACCAGGGCTGGACACTGTACCGTAATGTAGCAACAATAACTGTTAGCATATAATAACGTAAGGGAAAGCCATAAAACCCCAAAATCTAGTGGATATTGAAGATTATAAGGAGACTTTGAAACAGTGTGAAAAATAAAACTTTTGATTAAATATTACGCAAAACGTTTTTCCCATTGACATTGACCATCCAGAGGTAACATGGACAGTGTTCCTACTCACTCTTCCGTCAAAGGGACGTTCTTTGATGTCGTTGAGGGACCTGTGATCCAAGGAGTTGAACCTGACCTTCCCTTTCGTGAATAGAGCCAAATCACCTTTCATTCCCCCACCCCCTTCGGAGCTGAATGACCCCTACGGGTTTAGCGCTCCTCCCTTTCTGTATTAATAATACTCTGAGAACCTCGGTATTTGATATTTTTTGATCTTCTGCTTCAAGTACTTCCGCTACATATGATCATTAACAATGTTTCGGTAAACTGGATACCATCAGTCAACAATATTTGAACCTCCCATACCAGTGACTAAAGTAAACTCAGCATATATGGACAATTATCCGGGGCAATGACAGTATCATTCTATTCTTAAGGAAGCGCTAAATCCGTAGGAGGTCGTATGGAACCCGAGGATGGTCCGATGAATGGGTGGGTGATACTAATTACTTGAATTAAAAGCCCTTCAAAAACTAAAAGGTACCCCGTTTCAAGGTTACCACAGCATCAGCGTCTCAATCAATGTGATGCAAGATCAAATCTAACCACGTCGACCCATTACCTGTAAGTGATGAAGTGAAAACGATTCACACTGTACCTTTACTGAGGACCGTAGAAGAGAAGGTAGCTGTCCCAGAGGGTAGAGGAATGGTAGTTTGTTTGCTCTACTGTTTTAAATTCATCAGTCACTAGATAAAATAAACACAAGTAGCACAACACAAGCCAACATAACATGGGAAGACCACAGAACAGAATATAATTGTCCCAGAATGGTGGAGGGTTTATATTGGTTGGATAATTGACCTTTATGCTTGGCGCCAGCTCAGAGAGTCATTAAGACAGCATATAATCTGTTTGCCACCATTTAAGAACACTAATCCATAAAATAGGGATTAATGTAAACTTTGTGTATATACACAGAGTTTAGTGTATATATCGTATAAAAAGTGTATATATCATATAAAACAGGGTGTTTCTTTCACTACGTTGAAAGATCATTCGATAAAATACACAATGATAGCATATAACGCATCACCATAATAACACATGATCATGTAACACAATGTAACGGTCCAGTGTAGGTAGAGAGTTAATAAGTTGTTTTATCCTCTACGTTAAAGGATCAGACACTTCATAAAACAGAAACAAACAATACGTATCACAACAACAACAAAACATTGTGAAGGTAACGGCGCACAACGAGTGTGTGGTGACGAGCTTCTTTCTGACACAACTACCCGGTATCAAACACTGGTCCGAACGGTGGTCCTAATGAGGATCCACGTAACTAACACTGGTCCTAATGAAGCATCCAACTACCTAACATTGGTCCTAATGAAGCATCCAAGTGCCTAACACTAGTCCTAATTAAGCATCCATGTACCTACCATTAGCCCTAATGAAGCATCCAAGTACCTAAAGCACTGATTACATCGACCAGATATCGAACACCTGTTCGAACCGGGGCTTTGTTAATGGTTCACCTTGATGTCTTTATGAATCAAGGGTTGTTAATCCAAATAACTCGAGCTCTTCTTTCCCATCCCGAAATGAAACCTAATTATCTTAATTCCCAATGCCCTATTTGACCCCTGCGAGCTTAACGCTTCCCGGTGACAATAAAAATAATAATCACTTCTTCCTATGTATAAAGTGAGAGAATGAAGCAACTTCAACCTACTCTTCTCTCACAATAATACTAATAATAATACTAACACTAATAAAAATAATAATAATAATAATAATATTATTATTATTATTATTATTATTATTATTATTATTATTAGCAGTAGTAGTAGTAGTAGTAGTAGTAGTAGTAGTGGTAGTAGTAGTAGTAGTAGTAGTAGTAGTGGTGGTAGTAGTAATAGTAGTAGTCGGTAAAAAGTGCTAAGCCTTTAGAAGATATACATAGCTCTGGAGATGTATGTACTTGCACTAGAGAGCAATGTTTAGGTTAGTGCTGTTTACCTATGGAATTTATGTTAAAAAAGTAATGTTTAGGTCAGTTGTGCACTTATATTAGGATATGTTTATCTCTCCATTTTAGCTCTCTGTACTCTCCTGTTCCTTAGATCATCAGCATACAAATAAAGGATTCGATTCCTTCCTGTAGAACACTATCTACCTATATATATAAATATATATATATATATATATATATATATATATATATATATATGTATATATATATATATATATATATATATATATATATATATATATATATATATATATATATATATATATCGTACCGAATAGGTAAAACTGGTCAATTAGCAAGAACTCATTCAAAATTATTTCTAAGAAGAACATTATAAAACTTACTTAACCTTATTATAACGGGCAATTTAATTTAGCCTAATCCAACCAAATTCATTTTAAGTTTAAAGTAATTTAATAATAAACAAACACAATGAAATATATTTTTTTTCGTTAGGTTCAGAATGATTTTTGCAAAATAATTCCATACACAAATTGTCGTTTGCCTTATTCGGCAAGAAAAGGGTTGCTATTTAAGCCAAACTTGCAAGTTTTACCTATCGGCACGACAAAGATACATATAAATGTATGTGTGTTTGTGTGTGTGTGTGTGTGTGTGTTTGTGTGATGTCACCGTGGTTGTTTAAATATTTATAGATGGGATGTAAAGAGAAGTAAAATGCGAGGGTCTTGGCAAGAGGCGTGAGTTAAAAGATAAAGAAACACACATGAAGTGGGAGTTGTCACAGTTGCTCATTGCTGATGAACTGTGCTCTTGGGAGATTCTGAGGAAGTTTGCAGAGGTTGGTGGATGAATTTGGTAGGGTAATGCAAAAGAAGAAAATTAAAAGTGAATTACAGGAAAGAGTATGGTTATGAGGGATAACAAAAAGATTAGGTGATGAAAGATTGGATATCAGATTGGAGGGAGAGAGTATGGAGGAGGTGAATGTAATCAGATATTTGGGAGTGACGTGTCCAGCGGATGGGTCTATAGAAAGACTGAGGTGAATCATAGAATTGATGAGGGGAAAGGGTGAGCGGTGGGCCACTTAGGAGTCTGTGGAGAACCAAATAACTTTGTCCTAGTAGGCAAAGAGGAATGTAATGAGAGTATAGTTTTTGAACAACGCTCATATATGGGTGTGAAGCATGGGTTGATGAATGTTTCAGTGAGGAGAAGGCTGAGGCAGGGAGATGTCATGTCTGAAGTCAATGTGTGGTGTGAATATAATGCAGAGAAATTCGTAAGTTTGGAAGTTAGGAGATGTGCGGGATTACCAAAACTGTTGTCCAGAGGGCTGAGGAAGGGTTTTTGAGGTGGTTTCGGGACATGTAGAGAGAATGAGCAAACAGAATGACTTCAAGAGCGTATCAGTCTGTAGTGGAAAGGAAGCGGGGTACGGGTCGGCATAGGAAAGGTTGGAGGGAGGGAGTAAAGAGGTTTTGTGTGCGAGGGGTTTGAAACTTCCAGCAGGCTTGCGTGAGCGTGTTAGATAGAGTGAATGGAGACAAATGGTTTTTAATACTCGACGTGCTGTTGGAGTGTGGGCAAAGTAACATTTATGAAGGGATTCAGGGAAACCGGCAGGCCGGACTTGAGTCCTGGAGATGGGAAGTACAGTGCCCTGCACTCTGAAGGAGGGGTGTTAAATGTTTGCAGTTTTAAAAACTGTAGTGTAAAGCACCCTTCTTGGCAAGACAGTGATGAGTGAATGAGTGTGAAAAGTTTTTGTTTTTCCCGGGCCCCCTGCCTTGGTGGGAATCGGCCATTTGTTAATAAATAAAAAATATATATATATTATATATAATATATATAATATATTATATATATATATATATATATATTATGATATAATATATATATAGTCTAATCTATATATATATTTGTAGATGATGGTTCAGAAGAACCGACAGGGGGAGTGGATGTTTTTATAAATTAGACACTGTGTGGCGAAACGTTTCCTCATAACGATGGCCAAGAGTTGCACATGTGTCTAATTTATCAACATGTCGGTTCTCTGAACCATTCATCACAAATTCTGTCAGACACTGCAAGACTTCTTGGGATCTTAATACTTAGGAATTCTTCGCTTGCCTAATTCTTGGGCCGACCTACTTCCACATTGAACAAATGTGACAAAACCACCTAAGACTGCTGCACCTCTCCTGCCATCCGGGTTTATAAGCACGTTCTCAGCACGTATGGCCGTATTCTATTATTCAAGATTGCTGGACTGAACACATACGACTCCAAGTTTGGGACTGATTACCTCATTCCTCCTCCTGTTTCTTCAAGTTTCTCCTACGTATGGACGATGAAGCCACTGTGTGGCGAAACGTTTCCTCAATAAAAATGCCCAAGATGTCTCATGGGTAAATTTTTCATATAATATATATAGAATATATATATATATAATAATATATATATATATATAATATATATATATATAGTGTATATATATATATAAAAATATATATATATGATATATATATATATATATAAATATATATATATATTATATATATATATATATATATATATATATATATATATATCTATAATATATTATATACATATATATATATGTAAACCGTAAAAATTCAATTTCAACTTCTTCAAAATTCTCAGGTTCTGGACAAGAATACCTCGGTGTGTGTGTTTTCTTCTGTTTTGAAGACGGTCGTTTTGTTTATAATGGTCAATAGAAGCATTTTGAAAATTCAATTTTACAATGAACACGAAAACGTAAATATTATCTTTCATATTTTCGAATTTTTTTGCATTACGTCACAGGTGTGGTATTTTATGTGAATTGGTAGGATCAAAATACAATACTAAAAAAGGAGTGTAAGTGTTGTGAAATGCGAAGGTCGAACCTCCGACATCTCATACCGTAGAAGAGTGTGTCTTTCAGCCGGCCATGACAACTCCGGATAACCGCGAACCGTCAATCAGTAGACGGAGTTGAGTCTATCACCCCTGTCTCCCCCTTCTCCCACTACTGCGCTGAATAACCCACACGTGTTTTACACCCGCTTCACGAATGCAAAATCAGGCTGAACCTTGAGAAAATGGTGAGGTGTCCTTGATATCAATGTAGGATCTTAATTTTCCAGATTAACATTTACAGTCGCCTATCCTTGAACTCAAATTTCATTGCAATTTTCCAGATGCTGAATAACTACAAAATGAGTGATTGCTAAATGAATCTGAAAACTAAGTTTGTTTCAGTGGCGGGTGATCGAGGAAGTTTATACCAGTAATTACTATTCATCTCAGTGGTGGCACAAAGTCATCACACCTTTGCAGATCTTTCACTGGAATGGTGACTTTAGACTCTCCCTCTCACTTTATATCTCACGCTCTAAATCTCAATCTTTTCCTTTCCCTTGCTGGTCTCCTTACCTCTCTACCCTCTCCCACCCTCTCCCTCACCCGTCTCCTACAACCCGCACCCTCCCCCTCCCCCTCACCCTCTCCCTTACCCTCTCCCTCACCACTCACTCTAATACCTTCCCACAACCATCAAGCAAAACCCCACCTTCACTCTCAGTCCTCAACCCATTTCCCGTCATTTTCCTTTTCTTTCTCCCTCCTCACCCTCATCCTCTCCTCACCCTCATCCCTCCCTCACCCTCACCTCTCCCTCATCTACCCTCATCCTCTCCCTCACACCCTCATCCTGCTGCCCTCACCCTCTCCTCACGCTGTCCTTTGGAAAAATTCCCTCTTCTTGTATTTTCCATTACCCCTTTTAATAACCACGGCAGGAGGCAGGGAGAAATATACATCAGTTCAGCACGGTTGGACTATCGCCTTTACCACCCCGTGCCACAAGGCCCAGAGTTACGACAGATACGGATGTTCCCCTCTCGGACTTGCCACCTTAGTCGATAACTTACTTTCCATATGTGCCCACGTGTCGTAATGTTTCGTTCGTTGCAATAATCTAATATTTTTTTTATAACCCTTTCGTATTCCAAGGTGGGGGGGGGGGAGGGGAGGGAGCGAATTGGTCTACCGTACTTTAAATAGAAACGAAGGTTCTGGAGAAAAAGGGCGCTGAAAATAGAACCGGTAGAACCTTTAGATTTGATCCCAGGATGTGAGATTTAACGGGCAAACGGAGAAAACGGGAGTCTGAACCTCGCAACGGTTTGAATCACGGGGGAACAGGAGCTTGTGTCACTCAAACTGGTGACTAGCGT